AAAATTGATAATTGACTTCTTAAACTTAACCTATATAATTTGTACCATTTGCGATGTCAGGATCTTTTTTATAAGATTAATCTATAAATAAAAATTACAGAAAATTAAAAGTCTACGCAATTTTATACAATTCAAAGGTCAAAAACGAATTCGAGGATAAAGTCATGACTAGCTAACCTGGCCTTGAATGTCTTATCAACTTTTTATTAAGAAATAATACAATAATTCATTTTTGTAGCTTACATAAAAATATACCTAAATTAAATTACGCTTAATAATGGTTTCAAAACTAATTACTCGAATATTAACTTCTCGGCAGTATAACTTATTTAATAGGTAAGTTTTTATCTGATAATTGACCTTTGACTTCTTGCCATTCTATCTTTGTTTTGCTTTGTAGTACATATAGTATAGTGAGGTATAGTAATCAGTTGCTATTAAACGGTAAACAAATATTTTGTTGTAGGTACAATAATTTTGTAAAAAGCAGAATGATGTCTACACAAACTGTGACTTCCTCTGAGTTTCCTACTTTATCAGAATGTAAGTCTTTAAAGCCAATATTTTAATGATTTTATGCATGGAGTACATTAAATAATATTGTAGTGATTACCACCTACAACACACTTAAGTAGTTATATATAAAAGGATAATTTTTTTGGTCCAATTAAAAATCCCTCCCAACTAATAATTCAGAAATATATGTAAGGAAACAGCATTAAACAAAGAAGAATAACAAAACTCCCTAATATGATGACTTTTTAGGAAGTCGTTCATTGTACATCTGCCTTTTGTGTAGCTTTCTGACTCAGATGTTAGTGATGACTACATACATAGATGTGGCTGACAACTTTATGCACCCTCTGAAGCATGGTGGCAGCTTAATTTTCTAGTGTCTGTGCCAGAAATCTATCTAGCCATCTAATCTAGACACTGAGATTTGACGTTGAATTAAGACATGTTGTACCTATCTTAATCAGTTGATTTTATGTTTTTATTATATTTGGTTCCCTGCGTAGGTGCTGTAGCTCAAAATTTAAATATTTCCTCTATAATTCATTATAATTTATGGTTCTATATATTATTCTTAAGACTTTTCTTTCAAAACTTAAAACTGCCTATCAGGGTTTTATACATTTTAGTTTTTGTGTTTCTCAACATGCTTGTTGATTTTAGTTGTTTTGATAGACCGAAATATCAAAGATATATGTTAGCAAGGTAGATTCTTTTCTTGATTTTGTTTTTCATATCATTTTTTCTTCTCCCTGTGTCTATGTCATCTGTATATGTAACAATTTGGATGCTTTTTTAATATTGTGCCGTTGGTATTAATTCCAGAAGTTCTTATTACTTTTTTCAGGGCTAAATTAAACAGGACACAAGAGAGTGTGTTATCTTGTCTAATGCTATTTTTAATTGTAAAAATGCAAGATAGACGACCACCTGACTGAACTTTGCTCTCCACATTATCAGTAGTTTTTAGTAATAAATTTAAATAAACTTGGTTTCATCGTTCTTGGCGTGTGCCTCAAATAAGCTACTACGGAATTTTTAATATTCGTCTCTCTCTGATACACAGATGCGTAATTCAATTGTGCGAGTCACATTCGTCATGGTAAAGTGCGATGAGAAGGGAATGAAGAGACCACTCATGTCTCCCAGTATTGTAGCAATAACACCGATGCATTTGGCTGATACGGTGTCAGTGATAAGTTCAGCCTCTTTACGAATACAGATAGCTGCCACTGGAGGAGGTAAATGAATCGAGCTTAGACAAGGAAAGATAGATGAAACAACTTATTGCAAGTGTTTTTACATGCACACGCCAAGAAAGATGTAAACATCTTTAGTACATTTAATTAAAATTAATATTGAAAAGATTTCCTTATATTCTAGACCATTTACTCATTAAATCTATCCAGAAGTCCAAGGGATAGTATTTCTTAAGTCTTCTCACTTCCCTGCTGTTATCTAGTAGGTTTACTGCAGTGGAATTAGGTTGAACAGCTTAAAATACTTTTACTGTTTTTGGCATCAGTAATTTACTTGCCAAACCAATGATTTCTTTGTACTTGCTGTTCTTTACTTGTTACCTCAACTGCTGTTTTGTGAACTCGAGTTTTAGTGTGTTTGACTATTTTTCCCCGTTGAGAAAGATCTGAGAAGTTTATTTAATAATGGAATTAATCAATGTCCTGACATTTCATTATTTCTTTGCTGGAGTATACTTAGTATCCATAGCTAATAATCATGTATGGTTGATGCAGATAATTTTTACATTATGATTTATTCCAAACCATAGAATTAATATAGATCTATTTAAATATATTTACTTTTTAGTAAAATATTGCATGACCAAAGATATGGGAGTTGATGTGTATCAACCAATTCCTAAAGATCGTTCTCATTTACTTAAATATTTACCAAAAACTCAAAATGAATTACCAAAAAGGTCAATGAAGGATAGCTTTTTGGTGGGAATAATACCACTTTCATCTGACAAATTTCTGCAAGATAAGTACACTACTTTCTTAGGGCAAGTAAGAATAGGAAGATTGTTGGAAGATATGGATATCTTTGCAGGTAACTTAATATTTCTTGTATATACTTTGTAACTAAATTTACCAAGAATTATTTTTCTTATTATTTTGTATGTATTCACAAAAAAATTGCACATGTTCAAACTTTAACACTATTGTAATATTGGCTATAGAAGGTTTTTAAAATTAAAAATGAAATGCTCATATGATTGTCATTTTTTTTATTGTCTTCTCTGTAGATGTAGGCTATAAAGATGTATTTCATGCCTTTTGTCTCTTGCAAATGATCCCAGTCCTGATTTGGATTACATATGAGATATAATGTATGTAGTCGATACATGGCTGGAAAATTGGTCGATGTGAACACGGAAATAAACCAATTAAAAATAATATAAATTCTGAACCTGAGTTAAGTATGATGGCCTGGAGCCGGAAAAATAAAAACAACCAGAACTCTTCTATTCTGGTAACTGGAACCCTTCTATTCTGGTAATAACCACCTGAATTACAACAGGATGGACTCGCTTATATTGTGAAACATCAAAAAATCTGTCATTAACTGTTTACCCATCTCTTGACAGTTTTAAAGATAATAATTATCACAGAGTAATGAACATCTTACAGGTATGTATCCCTACAACATATAAAGAACATGACATTATGGAAGAATTCTAAACCCGTTTAGAAGAGACCAAAACTAACTAATAAAGACGAAGTAACAATCATTGTGGGCAATTTCAATGCCATAGTGAGTTGGAGCAGTAGGGAAAACCGTTAAATTTAAACTGGCTACAGGCATAGCAGAAAGGGTACCTTAATACAATTTTTCACTGAAAAACTTTCTGTAGTTAACATATTTTTTTAAACTATATGCTGAGTTAGCAAATAGGTATCTCAATCCAGTTATTATGGAAATCAAGATGCGTCGATGTAAACAGGTTAACTGTCCTGTACCACCTAATCAGATAACATCACAAAACTCAAGAACCCATGGATAAAAGCAAAAGCAACATCGACGACAAAACAATTGTTAGTCCACTGCCCAATCTTCAACATGGATGACCTGAATTTTCAGTCAGGATTTATTCCCATAGCCGATTTTTCCAGTTTTAAGGCGCTGAAAACTCGCCTTTTACCTTCTCTCGTCTGCTATATAACGCACACCCATAGGACGTCATGCAACCCAGTGGCAAAAGCCTTCAGGGATGTGAGAGTATAATTTGTTGGCAGTAGTTCTATTTCTAGAACCTCCGACTTTTCGTTGAAAACAGTGGCCCATACTGTCTTCAAGATTGTTTACCAACCTCAATCCACCAAAGAGACATATACTTATAGTTATCTGATAATATGATATTATAATCATATTATTGAATGAAAAAAATCACCCTAAATTTAGTTTCATATTTATTTTAACAATAATATTATGTTTCAGTAATGGTGGGACACAAACACATAGTAAATCCAAATCAATCAGGAACGGAAAATTTTCCATACACTTTGGTTACAGCTCTTGTTGATAAGATAGACTTCACTGATTTTATACCTAAAGTAAGTTAAAGACAAAACATATTTTGGACTAAATATATGATTGCTAAAGCTCTGGTGAAGCGCATCTGAATTTTTAATATCCAAAACTTGACAAAACGCTTAATGAATTAAGACATCGAGCTCGATCACTACCAAACAGAAGTAGCTTAACTAGGCGATTGGCAGGGAATAGGTTACAAAATTTTTTACATATAATTAGTAATCACTTTGCTCGTTCAAGTGCAACATTACATACAAATTAATGTAAATGTTAAACAACTCGACAAAATCTACACACAATATAGATCGGCACAAAAAATCTGTCAAATATCTTAAATTTTTCAATCATCTTTTCTTCTAGTGCCGACTCCACTAATGAAGGTTGGCTATAACCATTGCAAATTCGTCTCTATCTGCCGCTTTTTTAAAAGCGTCTGTGTGTTCAACCCGGTCTTTAATTTTTAATCGTGATATCTCCCTATCTGCAGAACTTGAGGGGTAATTTTATGAAGACCACGGCGGGAGTGTCGCAGGAATGTTCAGTTAAATGAGATTTTGGAGACTGACCTGGGCATTAGTATAGGTAATAGCATATTCGTATGATCTGATGGTGCTGGTGGAGCACATCGAAAACTGGTCAATCATGCATAGAGAGAACCGAGCCTTCAACAAAGTGAAGACGCAGATGGAAAGCGTATGAAATGCTGGCAGCCGAGAAAACTGAAGCTATGACTCCGAAGGGTCCGAGGGCGAGACCATATAGTTTTTGTCTTGGAGGGAGAAAGAGTATTACATGCCAAAAAAGTAAAGTACTTAAAGTACTTTACGATGTTCACAGGTAGAGGAGAGAACTGCGGTGGTGAAAAGGATTATATCCAACGTGGGATGACCACGGACTGCCAAAATGGGAATTTTAATGAAAGTTGTTCACTCTACTGTACTTTACGCAAGTGCTTAACATCAAGAAATATAAAAGAAAGCTATAGATAGCCTAAAGAAAACACTACTAAGTGTGGCACGTCCATACAGAACAACATCAACGGTGGTCATACAAGTGATCGCGGCTGTCTTGGCCATTCACCTGATGGTGAAGGTGAAGCATGTTCAAAGTATCTCGCCATTTCTTCCAGTTATTTTCTCAACATCTCTTCATAAAGATAACTTTCTAGACGGTATTTCCCTATTTTGGTAATTTTCTAACAATGAATCTTTGTTAATTTCGAAGTGTATCTTCTGAAATCGTTCAAATACCGCTTTCTCTTCCACGTGTTAACTTTAGAAGCAAGAGAAAGTTTTTTGATTCTAAACTGTTTCATCTTTGTACCCTTAATTATTTTATCTCGCATGATCATCCCAAACTTTCCCCTTCTTCGACTAAGCTTTTCAATCCTTAGAGATCATCGCAATTATCGAGATCATTTCTGTCAAGTGGCGGGAATTTCGGGTCACCGGTTACGGTTCACTTAAGAGAACCGGATCATTAAATTTAAATTTCATTTTTTTAAGGTAATTATATATCATCAACTAAATATTTCTTTAAGCATGATAATTTAAGCATACCTATCTAGGATCTCTTTAATGTACAAAAGATATTGTAGGTCTTTTACTAAATTATTATTATTATGCAACCAATAATACGCCATGCCATAAAATATTTCGGGAATACCAAAATGTTACTTGTTCTGAACAAATAACATTTTATGGTATTCCCATAAACAGTTTATGGCATGGAAGATGGTCTGTAAAAGTTTACATGACTGGATTCGGTTTCACTTGGCTTCCATTTGAATAATCTGTAACATTTAGGGCTTTTAAAAATAAGACATTTTAAATGGAAATTACATAAAAAAACGTTTTCCAGACAAAAAGACATTTTATAAATTTGATATTCATAGAGATATTTAATTTTATTATTATCGACAGCTATCAAATAGTTAAACGATCATTAATCCAAAGTTTGGGGATATGTTACAATTTCCAATTTCATTAGATATAAACAATTTTTTTGCCGATAAGTTATATTATAAGTTTATAGTTTTTAATTAATATTACAACTTATAATTATCAGCAAAGTAAATAACTGTTTGCTCGCCTTCTGTGTTACACCTCAATCTGACAACCGTCAATCAGTTCACGTTTCACGTTCCTTTCAAACGAGCAAGACCGCAGAATATGTGAAAAGATTTAGTTCTGTTTATAAGAACTTGGGATTCAGCATTCAACTACTACATCATTCCGATCGTCATAATATGTGTTTGTTACTGACCCGTCGTGATCCGTTAGATTTAATTTTTAGATTCGGATCAGTTGATTCTTTCTAAAGATTCCGTTCATTGAATTCGGCTCACTGAATTTTAGAAATACAGAAAACAGTATAAAACTTCACGCTAGTCTACTGTGCTGCCTACTATAACATATTTTTTATTTATTTAACTTCTCGTAAATAATTTATTTAAATCATCTTTGGCTTCAAGTTTACATAAAAGTGTAACCACTTTTAATTAATTAGTATTACGATATTTACCTGTAACGATGAGTCCAAGCCATCACCGTTAAACCAGCGTGCGCGCGAACCAACCCATGTAGTAGGAGTGTATCGACAGTAGAAAGGGCAAAACTAATTACCAAGCTCCGCTATATAAACCGCAACATTTCCTCATAGAGGCAGAATCGACAGGTGTTGACTGAAGGTTCTCTTCTTCCCTACCCCGGCTTGTGGACGTGTTGAGTTCACAAGTTGTTCCATACCGCCATTACCCGAAGAGCGTGTTGAGCTCTTCATTACCCGTATTCCGAAGCAGTCGTGTTGAGACTGTCGAGGAGTGTCCTATTAACCCGAATCACTTAAGGGACGTGTTGAGTTCCTTTCTTTTCTTTGTACCTATCGTCCGCTGTTATTGAATCGATACAACGTTCACGTAAAATTTCAAAAACACACTCGCTTGCCGATAAGACTAACTTCATACGACAAGGTCAAACTTAATTTGAATAAATAGGCCAGGTACTGAGAAGACTAGACTAAATTGTAAATATGTACATAAGATTTTTGTCAATTTAATTTAAGGAAGACAATAAAGTTTTATTTTTATTTTGAACTCTGTCTCTGACTGTCCAAAAGCTACCCGGATAGTGACTCCTACGAGAGGACATCACATACCTCTTATATACGAGACCTTCCAATATGTTTGTTCATTGAAAATTAAATTTGTATTTTTAAAACGACTGATTTCTAGAATTTCAACTATACTGACTGAAGAGGGCATGGATGGTCAAGTTGTGTTTATAACTGTTATGTAATAATTGCTTTAGTGTAGAGATCGGTTGATGGAATCTATATGATTTCTCGTGATTCCGTTAGGATTTATTCATGTTTATTTTATTTGTGGTTCCTTTCTGAAGAAAGTAAAGAAAACATATTTTTTGTTATGTTTTCTTGCGATTAAATTAGATTAGATTAGGTATATTATAGTTCTTAACACTCTTGTATTCTAAGAATCTCTAATTCTTAACATTATTATAAATATATAAATTATAGCATTATAGCATAAATTATAAATATTTTCGTATATTTTAGCCAGCAGAGGATATTAAAATTTCGGGACACGTTAGCTGGGTGGGAAGATCATCTTTGGAAGTAGTTGTATGGCTGGACCAAAAGATGCATGGCACTTGGCATCGTATTACTAGAGCGCTATTTCTAATCGCAGCTAGAGATTCTCTTAACGAAAAATCAGCTTCCGTCAATGCTATAGAACCGGCTGATGAAAGAGAAAAAGAAATTTTATCTGGAGGAGAAGAGAGGAAGAGGAGAAGAATGTTTATGCAACAGAAACATGTATCCAAGGTAAGATTATTTAGATCCTTATTATTTACACATTCTCAATATCATTATTCTCATTATTAATATTAATCCCCCTTTAGTAGACATGCCTTGCCTAAGCCCCTCTTACCACGTCTTCGTTAGCTTCGCTCTAACTTGCAATTCAGCGATTCTTGGCATTGGGTGATTATTGTTCGACGTTGAACATATCCTAAGCAACTGAGTTTATGTTTTTTATTTTGGCGTTAGTTAATTGGCGCCTTGTTCAATCACAAATTAACCCCTTAATTTGTAATCTCACATTATTCTTAACTTCTTAATCTTTTATAGTTTCACCGTGTATAAGTTTGCATTATACATATTGCAAAACCATATCGTATGATAATTTAATAATTAGTTCATTTACCTACAACTAAATAAATTGCCGAATAATAATATTTTCTAATTGAACTTCCTAAGTGTCGCAATTAAGGCGTAGATTAAATTGTTTTATAAGCAAAAGTTAGGTGGTATTATATGAACGAAGCAATGACCTAAGGTGCTTATGTATCTATTATGTGAGAGATTATAAATTGGGGATTTGAGTTCAAATGAACACAGTCAATATTGAGTAGTTACCGAACGAACACCATATTGTGTAATTAGGAGTTGCTGTCAATAAATCATCACTGTTACTCCACAACTTTAACATTTATTAACCCTATCATCATCGATCAACGAGAAGCGGACAAAGGGACATTTACGAATCGAACCGAACTTCATTACTAAGTTCGATATTTTACATTGGTCCTTCGTCAAAACATCATCAAAAGGGCGTTAATTGGTTTGGAGCTTCGAAGGAGACGACCCTTAGCGACCTAAATAGCGGTTTCCCAGTTCCGTACAAGATCGACGATCGAATTCGAAGTGTAGAGAAAAGAAAAAAGAAATAAAAAAGACCAGAAAGCACCGAAATAAGGGGTAGGAGCCTTACGAGAGCCTTTGATCACCAGAGAACCTTAATAGCAGTCCTTAAGTCTACTATTCCAGCAGTTTGGAGGTCCAGTTTCCAGCAGAAAAATCTAGTAGCATCCAGAGATCCAGCTCACCAGTTCCAGTTGCAGTTCTAAGAAGGAAGCAGGAACATACAAGTGAACGTCGGGATAAAACTGTAAGTTTTTGAATATTTATTATCATTTAGAGCAGTGCATTAATTTAATACATTAAAAAGATTATTAAAGAAACTTAAGATTCAAATTGAATAATACTTATTTGAAATATTTTATTCTGCATACTTTTTTACTTAAAATAGTAATAGTTTGTCTACAGCTAATTCAAATGTAATAGCTTAATTATCTTAATTTAATTATATTCGATAATTTGATTCTTATAATTTAAAATTCTTAAAACATTTGAATTTCATAATATAGTGAATTATCGTGACAATTCGTTATTTTTATACACATTAAGAGTTCATTCTTCCAAAATAGTATTTGTAGTAGTTGCATTTTTATATAAAGAATTTCTTTTCTCTCTGGTTACAAGTGATAATATTACATTCTTTAATTGTACTATATAGCCGTGTCACAAAGGTTAGACAAGAGGTCATTTTGCGTTATTGTCTAAAGTAATCTTGCTCACACTAGTTTAAAAGTTGAAATTAGGTCAAACGTATATTCGTTTAAAATGGAACGATTATATTTAGATCAGGAAAAGCTAGGTTAAGAAATTACGAAGCTTTTAAATAATTTGCGAAAACTACGGAAAGAAAAACGAACGAGAGAATATTTAAACATTAAAAGACAGACAATTGATGAATTGTGGAACGACTTTGAAGATCAAAACACAGAAATTGAAGAGAAAGGTTCTAGAGTTGATAAATATTTTACATCTAACTTTTACGAACAAGTACAAAAAAGATATGAAGAAACGAAAAAGATTTTAGAGGAATTTATTAAAAGTTCGTGCAAGTCTTCGACAAAAATTAGAGAAATAGAAATTAGGATGGGGAAACTTCATCATTTATTGGAAGACGACGAAACCGATGAAGATTTACAAGAGGATTTAAAAGAAGAGGTACAAAAAATAGATACATTAATAATGGAAATAACTGTGGACAATGAACAGGATGCACTAGAAGAAGGTGAAATAGAAAGATTTTATACAATGAAAAGAAGGGTGCGGTCGATCATAAAAGAAAATAAGAGATCAGAGGCGGAAGGATGCAAGAAAGACAAAATAATATTACCCCAAGTGAATTACCCTGTTTTGAAGGAAGGTATGAATCCTGGGTAACATTCTATGATATTTTTAAACGTTTGATACATGAGAATAATCAACTATCAAATGTGGAAAAAATGCAGTATCTGAAGACAAACCTCCGAGGAGAAGCAAGTAGAATAATACAACATTTAAACACAACAGAAGCAAACTACAGTGCTGCCTGGAAAATGTTGCAAGATCGATACGATAATCCAAGGATGAATCTATTTATATTAATAGACAAGATACTTCAGGCTGCGGAGATAAAAGAAACGTCAGCAAAGGCGCTGAAATCATTACATGATACTCTCCACGAATGCTTAGAAGCCATTAGTGGACTAGGTTTAATGACAGAGTCCTGGAGCCCTCTTATAGCAAGGATAAGTATGTTAAAGTGGGACACAGAAACCAGGAGATTATATGAAACGTCAATTCAAGACAGTAGGGACATTCCGACATATAAGTCAACACAGGAATTCCTACAAAGAAGATTCCAGACATTGGAGATGTTGGAAACAGAAAGGAAAGGAACAGATCATAGACAACAGGTAAAGAAGAAGATAACCTGTGTGGTGTGTCATGAAGAACATAAACTGTTGAAATGTACAACGTTTCTACGTCAACAAGTATGTGAAAGAAACAAAATCGTAAAGGAAAAGCAATGGTGCAGTAGATGCCTACTACACAAAAGGGAAGTACCATGTTATTCCTCTCATAGATGTGCAGAATGTGGTGGACAGCACCATTCATTACTACACATGTCAGAAGGTCAGCATGATAACAGAAGGAATTCTGAAAACAGAAGGCCACAGAATAGACCAAATTCTAGTGGGTGCCAGTATGACAACAGAAGGAATTCTGAAAACAGAAGGCCACAAAATAGACCCAATTCTAGTGGGAACAGAGGTGACAACAGTTACGACGGATCGTCAAGGAGACAAGAGAATGCCGTGAGCTGTTTAAGTCATCAGAATGAAGAAGTGCTACTTGCAACGGCATTAGTACGAGTAAGAGACTCAAAGGAAGCCCACAATTGATGAGAGCATTGATTGACCAAGGCTCGCAGTCATCATTCATTACGGAGCAAGCGGCTACTAGTCTCGGAATAAAAAGAAAAGCTGTCCACGCTCAGATATCTGGAATTGGCAATGAAGACCAAAGGACGCCGAAATGGAGCGTAACATTAAACTTAGAGGCGCATTTCAAAAATGAATTTGAAATGAAGACCGAAGCAATTGGGCTAAGAAAAATAACAAAAAATCTACCGGAGAAAGAGATACAAATAAAAGAAAGGAACCATAGGAACTTAGTCCTGGCGGATCCAAATTTTAATAAAACAGGTCCAATAGATATTCTATTGGGAGCCAAAGAATATATTTTGATATTACTGGACGGAGTAGATCGAACAAAAGATGGTTTGCTCACCCAAAATACAAAATTGGGTTGGATAATGTCAGGGATAGCAGAGCAAGAGAATATCCCTAATATACAAGTGCTTAGCATGCTATCTAGACGACAAATGGATATTATAAAAGAACAGTAAAAAAGGATAACGAAGGAAGATTTGAAGTTAAAATACCCTTCAATTTTAGTACAAGCCTATTAGGGGGACTCACTACAGCAAGCATATGTGAGACTTTTGCAATTAGAGAAGAAATTTCAAAGAGACACAAACCTAGAAAAAGAAAAGATGGTGTTGTGCGCTCGTTGTTGGTCCCAAGGAATCTACTTGCAGTAGATTACAATAACTTACACTAATTTTTTAAGTGACATATGAAAATAAAGGAGGGTAGTCAGATATTTTCGAAACTCCAAGAGAGCCAGAAAACAAAGGCATCAAGGTTCTTACATCCAACCTCATCCAGCGCCTCAAAGACATACTTCATCACAACCAAATTTAGGTAGTACTTTAAAGAAAGCCCCTCCTAGATCAATTTCACTTAATGAGCTTAGATTTGAATTAGATAGTTTAGCTGAAACATGAATTCTAAATAATCAAATTATAGGTAGCACTGCTCGGGTGAGATAATAATTCAAAAACCGAGTGAATTAGTGTTATGTTTATTATTATTATTATTTATATTTTTATATGTGTTTAAATATTTTCGTCTGTTTGTTTTATATAGTGGCCAATATGTTCAATCACAATTAACCCCTTAATTTGTAATCTCACATTATTCTTAACTTCTTAATCTTTTATAGTTTCACCCGTGTATAAGTTTGCATTATACATATTGCAAAACCATATCGTATGATAATTTAATAATTAGTTCATTTACCTACAACTAAATAAATTGCCGAATAATAATATTTTCTAATTGAACTTCCTAAGTGTCGCAATTAAGGCGTAGATTAAATTGTTTTATAAGCAAAAGTTAGGTGGTGTTATATGAACGAAGCAATGACCTAAGGTGCTTATGTATCTATTATGTGTGAGATTATAAATTGGGGATTTGAGTTCAAATGAACACAGTCAATATTGAGTAGTTACCGAACGAACACCATATTGTGTAATTAGGAGTTGCTGTCAATAAATCATCACTGTTACTCCACAACTTTAACATTTATTAACCCTATCATCATCGATCAACGAGAAGCGGACAAAGGGACATTTACGAACCGAACCGAACTTCATTACTAAGTACGATATTTTACAGCCATACCTAAACTTACTTTGCGATACATTATAGCTGTTCGTTTGGTAGTTCCATAAACATTTTTCTTGCAGTTTCATTGGAATTTTTCAAAGATATCTTGTTTGTAGTAGTGACAAAAATCTTTTAAGTGAACGTTCTATACACTTTGTTTTTGCCCTACTTAACTTTCAATATTTTTTTTTCTAATCTTGTATACTATAGCTATTTGATCACCTAAGAACACCCATCCAGAAGCTCAACATAATCAGTACACTTAATTTGCTAATGTTTAATACTGTTAAATCTGTTTTAAATAATTTGTTTGGACTCACCTTCTACAAGAATAACTAATTTAACTTTGGTAATAAGTAGTAAATACCAAAGAGAAGACTGCAGCTCAATTTAATATCTGATTTATTTGAGACCAAATGTAATCCATAAACAAATGTTTTCGTTGACATATATTGTAAAATTCTCATTTAAATATCGGCAAACAACATTTCTCCCGAATCCAGAAGTGAACTTAGTGATCAATTAATTCTAATTTCCTATATAACTCATGTATGGGGAATAATTGAAATATTCAAAGGATTTCAGAGTTTTCTGCCAGCTCCACCAGTTTTCTTCGTCTTCTTGACCAAGTTTTTGAATTATACTGCTCGTTAATAAGTTCGTTATTTAAATAAAAAAAAAATCATTCCTGTAAGAATATTTAGAAGAAATTTCAAATTAATATTATTTTTTCTTTTTTAGCTAATTCCAGATGGTGAAGAACAACAGATAATTCATAATTTGTATATCCGTACCACTGACAAAGATAACAGTTTGCGAAACAGGGTGTTACCTCCCGGATGTGTCTGGATGAGCACAGCTACGATTTCGAACACGATTTTTTCACACCCTGACGAGCGTAACATGCACAACACTGTTTTTGGAGGGTTCATCATGCGGATGGCAGAAGAACTTGCTTGGGTTCTAGGCTTTACTTTTAGCAAATACAGGCCCGTACTTAAAAGTATTAGTGATATTAGTTTTCAGAAGCCAATCGCAGTTAGCTCGTTAATTAGAATGCACGCGCATGTAGTTTACACTCAACTTAACTGGATACAAATATTAGTTTATGTAGAGGTTTACAATTCCGTAACAGGAGATAATGACACAACCAATACTTTACATTTTACCTTCCAAGTACCAGAATTGGTACATGAGTGTATACCACAAACGTATCATGAGGCTATGATGTACATTGATGGTAGAAGACATTTTCTTGAAGTTACACAGAAACCTAACTCTTTTCCAAGTAAATTATAATATTAAATATAATTAAAACACTAACTGGAAGAGTGAAAGCCAATATCTTCTAAATATTGTTTCTGTACAACATATCCCAGTTTTATTATTGTTGTAAATTAATGCATTTGTGTGATAGCTAACATTTTTTGAGGTTGAGGCATTATTTTGACATTAATAATTTTACTTTCAATCAGTTTAGAGTAATGACGTCACAATAGGGCTTATCGGATTTAAATTAAATTTAAACAATAGGTTATATTATATATAGTGCTTTTCAGACAAAACTATCCACCTTCAATAACTTTTGAACTAAACGCAAAAACAAGTCAATTAATGTATAACACACGATACTTGAAGTGATTAGTTTATAGGAAAAATAAAGATAAAAGCAAGAAATCTGGACTGAAAAAAGTTATTTTTTAACAATTTTATTACAAACTTTTAGAATGAACATTTCACTACCAAAAATTGTTAAAATAATTGTTCAAAATGACTGCCATTCACTTCCATACAATAGTACAATCTATTTTGAAAATTTTCTTTTGACATTGCTTAACACGTCTGCATTTACTTGTCGACAGTCATTCTCTATTCTTTGTTGGAAATGATCTCGAGATTCTGGTTGAGTAGCATAAATTTTTGTTTTTAAATATCTCCATAAAAAGAAGTCTAGGGATGTTAAATCCGATGATCTAGGTGGTCAATCCATCATCTGTCCTCTTCTACCTATCTAACGACCTGGAAAAGTTTCTGTGTGTGAAATTCACGTACAATATGTGGATCACTCTCAACCCAGTATCGGCAATTATGTCATGGTTATGGTTTACCAAACCATTTAATGAGAATGAGTATTCATCTGAGAAGCAAATATTGTTTAACAATTGTGGACTGTTAATGATGCATTACTTCGCAAAATTCGAGACAAAATCAAAGACAGATTCAAAATCTTCTTCATTTAATTATTGTACTAATTTAATTTTATATGGATGAAACTTAAATTTATAAAGGACTCGGGAGGGAGGCTGTAGAAGATGAAACACCGATTGATCTGCTTATTGTTGACAGTGACTGTGATTGCTCAGCCTTTAAGCTAACTTACCCTAAAACAGCTACTTGGATTGCTTCGATATTTACAAGTCCCTGGCGGTTATGTTTTTTTATTGAAAACTGACCCTGTTGCTCTAAATTTCTGCATCACTTCAATCACATACTTATGAGTTGCATGTATATTGTGGTGTGTTTCATTAAAAATTCTAGCAGCAGTTCTTGCACAATTATTATTTTTGTAGTATAAACCTACAATTTCGATTCTTTCTTGCAAAGTGTAAACCATTTCAGCGATCAAATTGCACACGTATCAAAATAGGCTGTTACAAGTTATAACAAATTGTCATTGGCTATTAATCGATTAATATAAATTTCCAAGTAATATCGAAAATATTTGATAAAACTTTAATAAAAAGTTAAGTTTTTTGTTTTTTGGGTTTTGAAGGTACTACAAATAGTACGGTTAAATATTTTTTTAATGGCTTTGGATTATTGATCCATTCAGCCACGATATATAATAAATACTGTTTGCTACAATATTAAATACTATATACACATGGTCATATACACAAACTTATGCACGCACATACATATATAGGTATTGTTAAATAAAAATTTAAAAAATTCCAAAAAGGAAGTGTAAACATTAAATTGACCTCTATTTAAACTCTTCATTCAGGACCCTAACCAACCTAAATTAATTTACAAATAAGAAATATACAAATAATACTACTTTTTTTTTTTAATGGCATCGACATTAGTCATTCAGCCAGTTGCAATAGATTCTCCAATCAGACAAATGCACAACTCTATCCCTAATCGAAAACTAACGGATAATTAATAGAAGAATATACGACAAGAAAACTTACAGGGTCACTTGCTTCTCGTCTAGGGGCCCATCAAGACATTCTCAGTATACAAACCAAACAAAACTGGACCACGGATAAGGTGTTATAACATTTAGGGTAAACAAAGGATACAAATCTAAATTTCCACACGATCATGAAAAATTTCATGCTCGAGTACAAATTCTATAGAACCATGCATGTGTCTGACAAGAAATCTATAATGATATTATATATATTTTGTGAGCCTGTCGCCAGTAGCGACTGAATATTGAATGGTGCATACATATTAAATTAGATTAATTTTTTGTAAAGAGAGTCTGAATACTGTTGAAACTTAGGGCATTCAAAAAAGATGTGATCAAGATCACCCAGTTTTCCGCAATGTTTGCAATTATCATCTTCAATCACATTTATTTTATATAAATGACTTGGATAACACGCATGTCCAAAGCGTAGTCTATTTATGGTGGTTATATATTTACGTGGAGATTTAAAATTCTTAAACCAAGTAGTTTGTGGAATAACTGGTTGTAAAGTGGTGTATCTTGTTTGGTTTGTAAGGCAGTAAAGATTCCATCGATCTTTCCATGTCGCTAGCTGTTTTTTTTTTAAATATCCTAATGGCATCTGATACACATAAAGAATATGGCAATAAAGTGCCTGATATTATACTGGTTTTAGCTAAGTAATCTACATATTCATTATCTTTGAGTCCAATATGTGCCTTAACCCAAATAAATTTTATATTAAAAGCCAGTGTCTACTAAGTGCTTTAATTGATCTTTTATTAGAAAAATATAAGGATTACTAAATGTTTTGGGCAAAAAATTGTTTTTTATGTTCTGTAGAACTGAAAGACAGTCTGAAAGAATTAACGATTTTTTTATATAAGAGTTTTTAACATATTTCAAGCTTCGAGTATAGCCAATGATTCCGCCGAGAAAATTGAAAACTCCTTGGAAAGTTTGTACTTAAATTCAGAACCTCCTGAGGGTAGAAAATAGGCACAGCCAGTCCCTTCTATTGATTTGGATGCGTCCGTGTATATAACTGTGGCATCACTATAACAGTTCAAAACAGATCTCAGAATATTATTGCTCAATTTGTTGTTGTGACTATATGTGGGTATTATAACTTCAGCTTTATGGAAGAGAGCAAAGAAGTCTAAATTTTTTTCCACTTTGGCCAAATTTTTTGAAAAAATTGAATGGTTCTGTAAAGTAGTGCACAAAGGTGGAGACGGCTTCTTAATCCAATATTTATGAGTGAGATCTGATTCGTTAAGTTGACGTATACTGGAAAATAATTTGGGATATGTTGAGTGGGCTTTGAGTACCCATTTTTCGCTTAATAAATTTCTTCTAATCGAAAGAGGAGGTTCATAAGCTTCAACATGTAGTGGTTGTATAGGGGTAGATCTCATAGCACCTAAACAGACCCTTAAGACAGAATTTTGAAAAATGTCAATTTTTCTTAAAAGATTTCTAGATGCAGAACCGTAAAGAGTAGCACCATAATCTATAATGGATCGTATATAAGCTCTGTAAAACAATAAGGATGTTTCAACATCGCAACCCCACCACACTTTGGTTGTCATTCTAAGAAAATTGCTACCTTTGTTGCATCTATCCAGCATATATTGTATGTGTTGTTTCCAAGTCAATTTTTTATCCAGTATAAGGCCCAGATATTTGATATGGTTTTTGAACGTAAAATGTGAATGTTTTTTTTTTAAATGCTGGTTAAATATTTAAAAAGTTTAAATTATGCTACAACCTATTTTGTTGCAGTCAATTAAGGTGAGAGAGATACTATCTTGTTAAAAGAAAAATCTCATAAACTAATCACTTCAAGCCAAAGTTATTATACATTTTTCAAATCAGTACAAAAATGAGAATTCTAATACAAAATAAAAAAGGAGGAACTAATTAAAAAAATAAAGGGATGATACAGAGGGGGAGCGTGTGCATTTCCCAGCAAGCTTAAATATGATATAATGTCTCCCCCTTCAAATAATAATTGACGTATTTTTGCGTTTTTCCAAAAATTATAAGTTCAAAAGTTATTTAAGGTTGGTAGTTTTATCTGAAAAGCACTGTATTATATATATATATATATATTTCTTCAAAATCTATTATTAACATAACTGTTATAATTAACTTAAGATTTTTATATATAAAAAATGTTTAAGATATGCAAGTTCCCTATTTTCAGATTTGTTTTCTATCAGAAAACTAGGGCCTTTGCTTCTGTTTTACTACGTTTATTAACGTGATTTATTATGTTTAAATACTAATACTAATGAAAGATATTATATTCTGGTGCTAAGTGACATAGAAGAAAATTGATATTTGATTAGATTAGATTGAGTCATTCAGACCATTTATAACCCATCTCGCTTCGGCATATGGATGTTCTTTATACTATTGCATTGTACTGTTGTGAGCTTTGTAGAGACTATAGGTTTAAAAATAATAGCAAATTTTTTTAGAACAGTAGAGGAGTGGAAGCATAGCATTCTTATCGTCTACGCACGGAGCGATGGTTTTTAATTTTTAAATTAATTTAATTTTTAGATTAGTTTTTAATTTTTAAATTAATTTAATTTTTAGTGCCCCATTTACGTTGAGATCAGTATTGCTACATGTATCACGATAAATTGCGATATACGTATCTTGAGATTTGTATCTGTACCTCTGCTGTACCAACACGTTGAGATGGACTCATGAAACATCAGTTGAATTAAAATTTTCTTCAATTCACATGTAGAAATGGTGTTGCCGCCGCCACCCGTGCTTATTGTTAATATATAGCAGTCAAGTTGTCAGATATTTCATAAAATAATATGGTAAAAGCAATAGTTACGTGACAGAAACAAATATATAGTGACAAATGTACTGGAAGAATTAATTAAGTGCATGAACCAAATGCTTCCTCAAACTCTTCGCACCCTAAGTTTGATTTTGCCTCTCTAGGCATTTCATAATCGGCAATAAAGCATAAAATTCAGCCGAACACAAGTTCGACACGTACACTTCGTCGATAGCTGATCCACTTCTTAATGACGTTACAACCTGTTTAAGTTCCCGTCTAATTGCCCTACGAAAGTTGTGTATTTTCTTTATGAAAAAATTGCGGTCACTATTAGAATAGTTCTTTGCATTATTTTACCAAAATTGTTATTGCCGATTCCCTAAGTTGTCTATTTGAATATTCTTTGGACTTGATTGATAAACTCCTCCCAAAACTCGCGATCCTCCATATTATAATTAAAATTGTGTGTACTTTAAGTAGCGCGATGCAAAAAAAATCAACATATACGTTGAGACAAGTCTCAGTTGCATGCACGCAGTATCAAAGTTTCACGAAAGTGATACAAACGGCGATACACTATGAGATTTGTATCGAGATACTGATACTTGCTACATTTATCGTTACCGATCTCAACGTGTATGGGGCACTTTAGATTAAATTCTATTCAGTTCTACTCAATTCGATTCGATTTTATTTGATGCGATTGCATTGGATTGCTTTTGAATTCATTTGATTCCATTCAATTCGATTCGATTCCATCCGATTTTATTTCAGTTTAGTTTATTTTATTAAGAAATACGCACGTGACTACAATTATCACTACACGTAGTGTGTGGTCGCACGATCTGTGGTTTCGTTGCGTTTCTTTTGTTTTTATTTTTTCACACCTCTGTGCGATAATAAAGCCAAATAATATAGACGCTTATAGAAGAATCTTTCACTGTTATTTTTGAAAGTTGGCAAAAGATGATCGCACGTTATGAAAAAGAATGAGAGGGTGGATCGAGATTTTAGTACCAATAGGGAGCGGTCATGTCAGCGCTATTATTGCTTTTAAAATATGAAAGAGTGGGGCAACAAATGCAACAGATATTTTTATGTAGATGCCGCGTGGCCGTAGAATAGGATTAAATTTTTGCGTTTTATAACATTTTTTAAAGAAAATAATAATATTTTAACTTTTAATAAATTAATGCTATTAGAAAAAATATTTTGATTCAAATTTTTAATTTAAATATGTACAAATCTACAAATAATATACTTAAAACTCTCTTCTTATTAACTATAAATAAAATTAATTCAATCAATAAATTCATCAATCACCGGAATCAAATATTTCCAATTTTCTAAATTTAATTATTTCTTCTTCTTTGTTTTTAATATCAAATAACATAAAATGTAAAACACAACACTGTTTTTTCTGCAGAATAATGGAAAATTGTCTAAAAAGTTTAAAGAAAAGTCCTGAAAAAATTAAATTTTTGGTTGAAAAATTTGAAATTTTTAAAAAATATTTCGTTAATTTTTGGAGAGAAAAACAGTATAATAAAAATTTATGTGACGGTTGTTCATTGTGTTGGAACAAACCTATTTTTAATTTAAAGGTATAAAATGTAAAAAATAAATGCTTTGAATATTGTAAATATCATACCTTTTTAAATTTCAAAATTAAAAATTTAACAATTTAATATATTAAAAGTAAAGATTTTATTGTGACAAAATAAAAAAAAACATGGGAATTTTTTTAATCGTAGATACAAAGTTAAATAAATAGCTCCGTTCGTACTCCTTTCCCACTTTCTCCTAACTACATCTTTTATGATAGTTTTAAGCCGACTGCCAGATGTGTTTTAAAGTATAAACTGTAACCAAATCGCCCATTTGAACTGTTTTTCTATAGGCGTCTATATTCTTTGATAAAGCTATACTTTCAAAAAATATATTTAATGTTGACCAAAGTTGTCACGTGTCAATTCATCCATGCTTATTAATTTATCTGTATATCTGTATGAAAAATAGTGCTAGTGTCAGATGTACAGATACTAAAAAAATTTATCATTACTATTACAA